TGGATGGTTGAGTCCCCAAATAATGTATGTATTCTGTTTTCATGCATTTAATTTTTTGTCTTCATTTTTGAAAAATATGATGTGTAAGTATGGTATTATTCATTACTGTTAGTGTATGTTATGGATAATTGTGCAGAATAATAATGTAGGCACAAAAACACGTATTATGTATGCATTGTACAAAACCAGATTGCTTTTTGCCATGCCTGTAGATTTATCGGATGTAAATGCATAGAATATAAGGCACTTTTTAACTCCATTGTCTGTTTCCAGTGATGATTTCACAGCATATGCAGATGTGTGCTTTAGGGAATTTGGGGATAGGGTTACCAATTGGACTACTCTAAATGAACCTAACGCTTTAGTTTCGCTTGGATATGATGCTGGTATCGGGCCACCAGGGAGATGTTCTAAACCATTTGGATTTGCTAACTGTTCCTCTGGGGACTCTGTAAATGAGCCATACATTGTAGCTCATAATTGCTTATTGGCTCATAGCTCAGCTGTGTCACTATACAGAAGAAAGTATCAGGTAATATCTTTTCGCTAGCAAATTAGTACTAAGGTACTTATAAAATTCTTTCTTAATAGTTAGATCAACATTGTTATTCTGAACCATCAATGCAGTAGTCTATGTGATATTTGTCAAGTTATTTGAGATTAGAATAAATTGTTGTCTTGAATAATTGGTCTGCTCCAAAAAGAAAAACCTTAATGCTATCTTTGTTGCCGATATTCTGTGCTAATTATTAGAAGTATGTTATATACGCAAAATTAGTGCTGTAACATTCATATGTCCCTTGGACTTCAGATATAGCTTAACTGTCTTCTAGTTTTCCTAAGGACGTTGAAAGCACCATGTTTCATATGAAATCGGTTATATCCATGGACAAAAAAATATACTTTGTGTTGCAGGCAAAGCAACACGGACTTATTGGCATGAATATGTTTATAAATAACATATTACCTTATACAAATTCAACAGAAGATATAGCTGCAGCGAAAAGAGCACAAGCCTTCTACACAGGCTGGTAGGTTGATCATTTTGTTGTTGTTGTTTTACCTTTACAGTACCAGCATCGATTTCATACTAGTTGGATTTACTTGGCCTTGACGAATGAGAAGCTTTTTAGGGGTCCGGCTTATTTCATACTAGTTGGATGTCTCCATTGTCTCTTGAATTTTTGCCAAACTGCCAATGAAACTTGCTTTTGAACTCGTTTAAATTTTACTATTTAAACTTGTCCTAGGACAGATAACGTGTCTGAGAGAACATTATGTTATTTAGCAGAGTGCCAGAGTCCATGGAATTTTAGGGCCTGAATAATCTTACAAATAGTGAATTTAGATTACACGTACTTTAATACCATACAGATGTTCTACGGTACTGAAACCCAATCCAGTAAGCTCCTTATTAGTGGAGTTCTTCTGTATATGTCAATACATTATTCTTTAAATTGATATGGTTTAAAGTATGTATTTGACTATCTGGTATGTAATTGTTCATTTTGAAATTTTCAACAAGTACTATTGGATTCGTGGTTTGCCGATTTCTGTACAAAAAACTGAATACTTTTCTAACCACACAATGGTGGGACACTTTTCATATTTAAAGTATGTGTAAACTTATGAAACTAGAAAGTTGGACTTTGTAAATGTAAATGCTGCCATGCGTTGCACTAAAATGGTGAGAAAACTTTGGCCCTTCTGTAAATTTGGTTGTTTCTCTGTATTAGGTTCTTGGATCCTCTCTATTATGGAGATTACCCACTTGTGATGAAGGAAAATACTGGCTCCAAGTTGCCAAAATTTTCTCGAAGCCAGTCTAAACAACTAATCAGCTCTATGGACTTTCTTGGTATCAATTACTACACATTTTTGTACGTGAAGGATGACCCGCATCATGCTCCCAGCAACAGAAGGGATTTCAGGGCTGATATGGCTGCTAAATCAATATGTGAGTGAGTTTCATATGTGTTGTATTTTGGGGACTCAATCATTGTCGTTTTTCTAGAGTTTATTCATGTCAGGAAAAAATCTAGGAAAATGTCAGCACTAATATACTAGATTTTGTTTTACTAACTTTAATATGCTTTACGCCATGTCGGTAAAGGGTTATTATTGATCCTAGTTGGTAATCTATGTCTGTTTATTATTGTGGTCCGGTGGATAATTGGTCTAGAAAGATAAGCAAAACATAGCTTAATACCAGCACAGAGATCACAAAGTAGCCACCGAGATGATCATCCCGTGTCGTGTCAAGATGAGGTGAATGGAGGCCTTGATGTCCAATTTGGCATAGGTTGAAGCCTCATTGGCACTTGAGAATTGAGATTGATCCAACAAGGACCAGGGGTTCTCATACTCTGTCGAGATCTCCTAGCATTCCTTCACTGCACAGACATAGCATCGTAAAGGGGATAGGTGGATATGAGAAATAGAGAAAAGGAGGTATTAATGGAGGCGGTGCCGGCGAATGAAGGGTGCCAGGAGCATCGGTGCCCGGCTGAAGAACGGCGAACATCGCACTTGTTGTTATGGAGCATGGTGGCACACTCCGATGAGGGGCCTGTGCAAAGTTGAGTTGAGAGAGGGGGGAGCAAGAGGGTGGTGACTGATGAGATAGAGAAAGGTGAAAGCCAAATCTGCAGACGAGTCATTGCCACATCATCTCCATTTATTTTTTCTTTTCTTTTTTGCGAAAACAACGTTGGGACCATTTTATGGACAATACAATTTAAAGGAAACGAGTTTAGGGTGCCGAGAAAGTTATTTGCATGTCAAAGGTCGTGCTGCCGAGGTGTTTAGGTTTGGCTGTGACGCAGCCTCGGTGCTCTGTGTTCTGCCTCTTCGCCACTTGTGGTGGAGGCCGAGCAAGGCATGTAGTGTGTCGTTGTAGTCGTGATGTGGTTGTTTCCATGCATTGTTTGCCGCTCGGCATTGTATCAGCCTTCTTGGCTCTTCTTCTATGAATCTGATACACCTTTCCGTGGTGTATCCTCAAGAAAAAAAAAAGACAAACACACAAGTTTATGGACAATGCGATTTATTCTATAGATCAATAGTTACTACCAGAAGCAATTTCTGCTCATTGAGTAATCTTCCATTATCTAGCTAGCTGTGTACTTTGGATTCATGTTGATTATTTTAATCATATTGGAATTCTTTATTTTAGTGTGATAATTTAATCCATGATTTACCTCTTGCAGTTGCAAGCAATTCTACCACTGGGGTAAGAGAAACTTGCAGTAAATCTGTTTTTAGATATTAAATGTATAATAACAGAGGGCTGACATATAGTGCTTCTCAGTTCTCTGTGCCAGGTTATGGTCTACGGCAAGTGCTTGAACATTTGAAGCAATCTTATGGTAATCCTCCAATCTATATCCATGAGAATGGTAAGTATTTTGCAACTATCCTTGTTGATAAAATAAGCCGGCTGATCTGGCGATTTTGTGTATCTTGTTTAGCATCCTACTTATATGATGTCCAAAAAATTAGAATCATGCAGTGCTGCCCAATATTATGAAACTATTTTTCACTTCCCTAAAATGGTCTTCAGTGCTACAGAAGACATGTGCTTATTCTTGTCTAAATATTCAGTCCAGCCTAGTGCCTATATATTCTTTTAATAAACACCATTAACACGACTTGCAAAAACTTTCAACTGTAGGGTATCCAATGCATCAAGATGTGGTATTTGATGATGGCCCTAGGGTGGAATTCTTGAGTGAACATCTTAAAAACCTGCTTATTGCTCTCAGGTATTACAAGCAAAATCCTCATCCTGCCAGTCTTCAACAAAATGGCAAAATGATGCGAGTGCACCAAAGGACCTTTTAGTTTGCATTATAGAATCGTTCATGTGATAGTAACATGAGCATTTTTATTTGCTGTCAAAAGAAAAAACATGAACATTTCTTTTTTTGGTGATGACAGGAATGGTTCGAATACTAGGGGCTACTTTGCCTGGTCGCTGATGGATTTATATGAACTACTTAGTGTCGGGGACACGTATGGGCTGTATTACGTGGATTTTGCCAATGAGGATCTCAAGAGGTATCCAAGGAGGTCTGCGATTTGGTACAAGGATTTTCTCAAGGGGAGGCGCATGGAGACAGAGAGATTCTCCGATCACTAGCTCTTGACCTCTGGCGTAGACTGCGATAGCTGTTTTCTGTAACATGTAAGGTTAAACTGCTCCATCCCCCCACCGTCGTTATTCCAAACACACCAGAGCGGCCCAAGTGGAGTGAGATGGAAGAATAAGGCGCGCGCTTTTGCCAATTTTCAACTTTTGACCATAAATTAGACCAATACTGGAGTAATATATTATCTCCATCCCAAATTACCTGTGTTAGACTTGTCTATATACAGATATATCTAACATTAATTCGGGACTGAGGAAGTATATAATTATGACTTAAAAATTATGGGATAGAGGGAGTACTTTTCAGTATGAATTCAATGGTACAATTTTCATCATGTTCAGTTGGTCTAATTTATTATCAAATCAAAGTTAAATTTTGTGATGCATGCAGTAGCAGGTTACTAGATGTTTTCCATCTGCAGTATCCCGTTTTAATATTACACGCGTCGAATCAGTCTCTCCGAAAGAAAGAAAATTAAGTTCCAGATGGAAACCATCTGCTGCATCGACAGGCATCTTTTAACGCACAAACATCGTAGGCAGCAGGCTACTGACCGTCATTGATAAAAACTGCACTTTGACATCACAGAACGATATCTCAACAACCAACAAATAGGTAAAATCTGGGCTGGAACTTTGCAAATACATGTTGACTAGTACGCATAATGCCCATACCCAAAATATTAGGACATCCAACTCCTCGGTAACTTCATACCACACAAACCGTTTGCCATACCATACCGCAAAACCCAGCAATTCCAGCTCCAAAGTTTTTCATGTCCTAAGCAATCTATGCAACACCACAACTACAGGCCTTAAAAAGCGGCATTCTCGCATCTCAAGATCCGTCTTACCCACGACCACGTCCTGCCATCAAGTACAACAACAGGTCAGTATGTTGTTATCTAGAAAACCAAGAGCACATGGCAGCGGAATCTAAGCAGAAGTAGCGAACATACCGCCTTTGTTGCCACCTTTACTTCCAATTCCGCCCCTTCCACGGCCACCGCCTTTGCCATCATCTTGGCCACGACCAATGCCTCTGCCTCCAGGTTTAGTGCCTATATCTCCTCTTCCTCTTCCACGACCAACACCTGGTGGCTTCCTATCTGCATATACAGTAGCATGAAATAATTCAGAACAGCACTGAATCAATAGCTCTATCAAAGAACAGGGTAAGTTCTACAGGTTATAATAGTAGTAATGAATAAATTACTGTACGTGCACGTTGGCGCTCCTAACAACACAGAGTCCACTGTAATGTACTACCGGTGTGTATTTACATACAGATAATAAAGCCTAATAGTGTTGAAGTTAGTGCCAGCAGATCTGAGATCAAGTTTATCACGGTATTGTTACTGCAAATATATGCATTATTCATTCATCATGCTTAGTTCTGATCATGCTATCAACATTGTACTTCTAAGATCAATGGCCTATGAAGAAAAAGGAGCAACAGAACAAATAGCTGCCTCTCTTTAAGAATACAAGTCAGACACTGTGTTTGTGCTTAGTGCAGCCGAACTTAAGAAAAACAAAAACTCTTGACCGTTTACAATGTTTAGCCACATGAAAAATGACACTATTAGACTAGAATACTTTCGCACTATTATACTTCTAACCTAATGAGTATGAGAGAGTCAAGTTGCCCCTCAGAGACCACACAATGTCAATTTGCCCAATAGTATGAAGTGATGAGCAGTTCATAAATAACACACAACCAATAAAATGTAGCTATAATTATATATACTTGCCAGTTTATTAGAACATAAATGTGTAAACATATAAATATGTGTTCCAATGAACAACCCACTGCTGATTCAATAAGCTTTAGTCTTTGGATGCATACCTGATCTACTCTTAGAAGTTTCCTCTTGAACCTTGTCAATCACCTGTGAGTGAAACATAAAGCTCATGCAGTCAGGATAGAAACAGCTGGTTAACTTCACTACTGATACTGATAGCTTCAGTCCTCTTAACTGTAAAGATAATATGTACAAGTTTGAAAAAAAAATAAGGGCCATAGTAAATGGAGATTTAGTTGGCGCGGTATTTTAGTGATTTAAAGCCAAAGCAATCCTCATAGCCAGCTAGCCAACTATGTTGAAGTTTAGACCCTTGTACAGCTAGCTGATTAGACTATTTCTCTAGAAAATATATCAGGTCTGAACACACTACAATGCACCGGCCAGAGCTCAATGCGCATATTACAGTGCACAAAATAGAGCTAGTCGTGCTATTGCGCAAATAAATACTCTAGCTGATTAGACTACTTCTCTAGAAAATATCAAGTCTGAACACACTACACTGCACTGGCTAGAGCTCAATGCGCATATTACAGTGCACAAACTAGAGCTGGTCGTGCTATTGCACAAATAAATACTCTTCTATTCAGCTAAAATTTCATCCCTGTGGGTTTTCATTGACCACAGGATGCTAGTTTGACCCCTAATTTCTAACATAATAGGGTAGAGGGAAACGTTGTATCTATCATATCATATGTCCATACACAAAAGTATTCTCATGCGTTGAAGTTAGACTACGGTTATTTTAGCTATTGTAGGTCACTGAATTTCAATTGCATAACCTAAATGAACCAATATTATGAAGTGCACTTATTAAGATTGCAGGGTCTTGCATATGCTGAATACAATATCCACTTGGTCCAATGTCTGACCAAAGCTGATAAGTAATCATTCAAACAATACCAAAACGTAAATTTTACTGGGGAATTCAAGCAATATACATCATTATCTTATTTTTGTAGGAGCAGCTAACAATAGACAAACAAGGCATATTGTGCAATTACATAATGTACCAAGTCTAATGACTTGCACACCAACCATAAATATCAATGCGCTGCTTATGCAACTGATATTGGATATCATACACATATATGCCAACATAGAACCTTATGATAGATGATAACGATGCACAGCCCTATGGTGCATCAGGGGATACATAACACAGATGTAAATCACCACACGAGCAAACTACATCCATACACAAAACAAAGACACATTGTATCTGAAAGCCATACCTCATCAGGAACCCGAAGATACTTGATCGTGTTACCACGAATATAGCACTCCGGCATCCTCCAAAACTTATCACCATCCTGCAAACCCAACCATAGAACGTAAGAGAAGACATCTCAGTCTAATCTAGTAAGACAAAAATATTAAAGAGTCCAAGAGAACACCCAGCAATCTCCACATCAAGTGTGTTGTTCTGTGCATAATTTCATTCAGAAATAAAGAGCTGACTCCCCTGTTTGTTTAGCCAAGTAATGTCCTTAACTAATCTTAAGTTGATCGGCACTCCAGCACGACTCAATGTAGCAAGCCATGCTCACCGATCCCAGATTGCACAGGAAGTGGTGGTTTTGACCGTGCCAGCAAGTAAATCGTTGTACGCCAAGCACGCTAAGTACTGTCCACAGGACAGGTTCCAAATGAACTGATCCTCGACGTCCATAGCTAGTCATCGAGGATCAATTGGCGTGCAAACTGGGATGGATGAGTGCCCGTCAATTGCAAAGTTTTTGCACGGCTTGCTACACTGAATAGGTGATGAACTGCCAGTCAACTCCAGCGTTGAGGTCTGCCACACCCACCGGCGTGCCCCCTCTGTGATCAGTCCGCGGAATCAATGTACCATATCCTCATGGATCATGTCAGGCCGGTATGGCACCAGGTGCTTAACCAGACCTCGCCGCAGTCCTCTATGTCCCGAGCCCGAAAGAAAATTTTGACGGCTGGTTCGAGTCGGCTGCGGAATATGATGGTTCTAGAAAGGGGAAGGGCGGCATTCTCTCATCATCTTGATGATGTCGCACATTTGGCGGCTAAGGAACGACTGCGTGTTCGACAGCGCCACCACCGAAGTATTGGCACTGGTTGATTCAATTCTCATGGAGGCCAACTACGGATGCATGAAGGCTCTCAGGAGACCACCACAGGCGTCCTCCTGACATACTACCTTCGCTAGCAGAGTAAGGCCTTGTACAATGGGAGATGCTTAGGGAAGGTTAAGCGTCTCTCCTGTAGAAATAGGCACCGGTGCTTCAGAAAAACCCGGTTTATTTTTCTAAGCATCTCTCTAAGCACCTCCCATTATACAAGGTCTAAGGGAGCTGTACAGTTATTTTGCCTCTCGTAGCTTATTCTTAGTTGTCTCTGCTCTTGGCTTTTTTTTTGTTTTTTCTCGTTTTTGGCTTGACGCAGTTTCTCTTCTAATGCGTCAATATAAAAAAAATCGTGTGCAAATAAACTCAACCACAGGAGGGAGATGGGGAGCACAAGAATTCACCTTAGAGGTGCAAATAACCTCCCGGAGGTGGATGTTCATCCACGTGTCGCAGTTCACCAAGTGCCCATTGTAGGTCTCGCCGTTCTTGAGCTCCACGAGCTGAAACCACGCAAAACAAATCAAGAAAACCCTAACACGATTGGAACAGGGAGAGCTAGAGCGGTCTTACCATGGGATGCCCCTGGGCGGTCTTGAGGAGCGAGAGGGGAAGCTGCGGAAGAACGAAAACACTAAGTTAGACACGACCGCATCTCCAGCTTTGGGGATCGAGAGGGGAGGGGAGGGAGGTAACGCACCATCTTGAGCGAGATCCGGAGATTGAAAAAAAGTCCGGATCGGCGGATGGAGACGCCGAGCTGGATCGCCGCCGGGGCGGGAAGGAGGCGGCGGCTCCGGGGGAAGATTGCGGGAGCAAAACCCTAAATTTGGCCGCCGGGTCGTGTCGGTAAAGAGGGGGAGATGAGACGAGGCGGAGAACTCGCGAGCCCTATAGTAGGCACGGCAAACCTCGCTCAGTACCGAACGGGCTCGTTTACCTTCTGGAGAAGGTTTTTTTTAGCGGGTCTGGAGAAGAGCTGATTTATATCTATATAATTCAAAAAAGGGTTTACTTTTAGCATAAAGTTTCTTCTTGTTGCTTAAAAAGGATAAATGTAATTTTATTTTATTTTATTTTTAAAAAAAGTTTTCATTTAAACACTGGACCCAGCAATATCACTGGCTACCAGATCAGAAACAAACTCCGGCACAAACTCACCCCAGACAACAGGGGCCCCGGCCAAACCATAACCATACCTCGCAAGAACATGGGCTACACTATTACACATCCGATGACAATGCTGAAAATGAAAGCACTCAAAAGACATAAAACAACGACTCCTTGCTTCTCTAATCAGGACCCTAATCTCTGATAAATCTGAATCTCCACTCTTCAACGCCTTAATAAGACTCAAGGAGTCTGATTCCACCAAGACTCGATGAACACCAATCCCATATAATCCCTCTAGAGCAGCTAAACAAGCAAGCATTTCCGCACGAAGTGCGTTCTTAACATTATTCAATTTCCCTGCTCCAGCCGCTATAACATCTCCTAATTCAGATCACACCACATACCCATATGCACCATCTCCCTTCTCATGGAAAGCTGCATCAAAATTGATCTTTACGAAATCAGAACATGACCGCTCCCATCTCTGAACGCCAGTACTCGAACCTCGATTAATCTTTGGTTCCTTTATAAAATCCTGCAAATGTCGCCGAGTAATGAAACATATTTCCTATGTCGATTTCCCCTTCTCACCAGCATTTACTTTATTACGCATGTCCACCATTCCTATTGTTGGGGAACACAGTAATTTTAAAATTCTCCTACGATCACGCAAGATCTATCTAGGTGATGCATAGCAACGAGTGGGAGAGTGTGTCCACGTACCCTCGTAGACCGAAAACGGAAGCGTTATATCAACGCGGTTGATGTAGTCGTACGTCTTCATGATCCGATCGATCCTAGCACCGAACATATGGCACCTCCGTGTTCAGCACACGTTCAGCTCGATGACGTCCCTCGTACTATTGATCCAGTTGAGGCCGAGGGAGAGTTTCGTCAGCACGACGGCATGGCAACGGTGATGATGAAGTTACCGACGCAGGGCTTCGCCTAAGCACTACGACGATATGACCAAGGTGTGTAACTGTGGAGGGGGCACCGCACACGGCTAAGACAAATCTTGAGTGCCTTTGGGGTGCCCCCTGGCCACATATATAAATGAGGGTAGGGAAGAGGTGGCCGGCCCAAGTGTGGCGCGCCAGGTGTGGGGAATCCTACTAGGACTCCCCAGTCCAAGTAGGATCCCCCTCCTCTTTCCTATTCGGAGTAGGAGAGAAGGAAAGAGAGGGAGAGGGACAAGGAAAGGGGGGCCTCACCCCCACCCCTTGTCCAATTCGGTTTGGGCAGGGGGAGGCGCGCGCCACCTCTTGGCCCTTCTCCCCCTCTCCACTAAAGCCCAATAAGGCCCATCACTTCTCCCCGCTAATTCCCGTAACTCTCCGGTACTCTGAAAAATACCCGAATCACTCGAAACCTTTCCGATGTATGAATATAGTCGTCCAATATATCGATCTTTATGTCTCGACCATTTCGGGACTCCTCGTCATGTCCGTGATCTCATCCGGGACTCCGAACAACCTTCGGTACATCAAATCACATAACTCATAATACAAATCGTCATCGAACGTTAAGCGTGCGAACCCTATGGGTTCGAGAACTATGTAGACATGACCGAGAAACCTCTCCGGTCAATAACCAATAGCGGAAACTGGATGATCGTATTGGCTCCTACATATTCTACGAAGATCTTTATTGGTCAAACCGCATAACAATATACGTTGTTCCCTTTGTCATCGGTATGTTACTTGCCCGAGATTCGATCGTGATCATACCTCGTTCAATCTCGTTACAAGCAAGTCTCTTTACTCGTTCCGTAATGCAACATCCCGCAACTAACTCATTGGTCACATTGCTTGCATGGCTTATAGTGATGTGCATTACCGAGAGGGCCCAGAGATACCTCTCCGACAATCGGAGTGACAAATCCTAATCTCGATCTATGCCAACTCAACAAACACCATCGGAGACACCTGTAGAGAATTTTTATAATCACCTAGTTAAGTTGTGACGTTTGATAGCACACAAGGTGTTCCTCCGATATTCGGGAGTTGCATAATCTCATAGTCAGAGGAACATGTATAAGTCATGATGAAAGCAATAGCAATAAAACTAAATGATCATTTATGCTAAGCTAACGGATGGGTCTTGTCCATCACATCATTCTCTAATGATGTGATCCCGTTCATCAAATGACAACACATGTCTATGGTCAGGAAACTTAACCATCTTTGATTAACGAGCTAGTCAAGTAGAGGCATACTAGGGACACTCTGTTTTGTCTATCTATTCACACATGTACTAAATTTCTGGTTAATACAATTCTAGCATGAATAATAACATTTATCATGATATAAGGAAGTATAAATAACAACTTTATTATTGCCTCTAGGGCATATTTCATTCAGTCTCCCACTTGCACTAAAGTCAATAATCTAGTTCACATTGCCATGTGATTTAACACCAATAGTTCACATCTTTATGTGATTAGTTCACATCTCCATGTGACTAATACCCAAAGGGTTTACTAGAGTCAATAATCTAGTTCACATCGCTATGTGATTAACACCCAAAGAGTGATCATGTTTTGCTTGTGAGAGAAGTTTAGTCGACGGGTCTGCCACATTCAGAGGCGTATGTATTTTGCAAATTTTCTATGTCCACAATGCTCTGCATGGAGCTACTCTAGCTAATCGCTCCCACTTTCAATATGTATCTAGATCGAGACATAGAGTCATCCAGATCGGTGTCAAAGCTTGCATCGACGTAACTCCTTACGATGAACTCTTTGTCACCTCCATAACAGAGAAACATTTCCTTATTCCACTAAGGATAATTTTGACCGTTGTTCAGTGATCCACTCCTGGATCACTATTGTACCCTCTACCAAACTCATGGTGAGGTACACAATAGGTCTGGTACGCAGCATAGCATACTTTATAGAACCTATGACTGAGGCATAGGGAATGACTTTTCATTCTCTTTCTATTTTCTGCCGTGGTCGGGTTTTGAGTATTTACTCAACTTCACACCTTGCAACACAGGCAATAACTCCTTCTTTGACTGTTCCATTTTGAACTACTTCAAAAACTTGTCAAGGTATGTACTCATTGAAAAAATTTATCAAGCGTCTTGTTCTATCTCTATAGATCTTGATGCTCAATATGTAAGCAGCTTCACCAAGGTATTTGTTCAAAAAAACTCCTTTCAAACACTCCTTTATGCTTTCCAGAAAATTCCACATTATTTCCGACCAACAATATGTCATTCACATATACTTATCAGAAAGGTTGTAGTGCTCCCACTCACTTTCTTGTAAATACAGGTTTCACCGCAAGTCTGTATAAAACTATATGCTTTGATCAACTTATCAAAGCGTATATTCAAACTCCGAGATGCTTGCACCAGTCCATAGATAGATCGCTAGAGCTTACACACTTTGTTAGCATCTTTAGGATTGACAAAACCTTCTGGTTGCATCATCTTCTTTAATAAATCCATTAAGGAATGTAGTTTTGATATCCATTTGCCAGATTTCATAAAATGCGGCAACTGCTAACATGATTCGGACAGACTTTTAAGCATCGATACGAGTGAGAAAATCCAATCATAGTCAACACCTTGAATTTGTCAAAAACCTTTTGCGACAATTCGAGCTTTGTAGATAGTAACACTACTATGAGCGTCCGTCTTCCTCTTGAAGATCCATTTATTCTAAATGGCTCACCGATCATCAGGCAAGTCAATCAAAGTCCATACTTTGTTCTCATACATGGATCCCATCTCAGATTTCATGGCCTTAAGTCATTTCGCGGAATCTGGGCTCATTATCGCTTCCTCATAGTTCGTAGGTTTGTCATGGTGTAGTAACATGACTTCCAAAATAGGATTACCGTACCACTCTGGTGCGGAACGTACTCTGGTTGACTTACGAGGTTCGGTTGTAACTTGATCTAAAGTTTCATGATCATCATCATTAACTTCATCACTAATTGGTGTATGCATCACTGGAACTGATTTCTGTGATGAACTACTTTCAAATTCGGGAGAAGGTACAATTACCTCATCAAGTTCTACTTTCCTCCCACTCACTTCTTTCGAGAGAAACTCCTTCTCTAGAAAGGATCCACTCTTAGCAATAAAGATCTTGCCTTCGGATCTGTGATAGAAGGTGTACCCAACAGTTTCTTTTGGGTATCTTATGAAGACGCACTTCTCCGATTTGGGTTTGAGCTTATCAGGCTGAAACTTTTCACATAAGCATCGCAACCCCAAACTTTAAGAAACGAAAGCTTAGCTTTCTTGCTAAACCACAGTTCATACGGTGTCATCTGAACGGATTTTTAGATGGTGCCCTATTTAACGTGAATGCAGCTGTCTCTAATGCATAACCCCAAAACGATAGTGGTAAATCGGTAAGAGACATCATACATTGCACCATATCTAATAAAGTACGGTTACGACGTTCGGACACAGCATTACAATGTGGTGTTCCAGGTGGCGTGAGTTGCGAAACTATTCTAAATTGTTTCAACTGAAGGCCAAACTCGTAACTCAAATTTTTCGTCTCTGCGATCAGATCATAGAAACTTTATTTTCTTGTTACGATGATCCTCCACTTCACTCTGAAATTCTTTGAACTTTTCAAACGTTTCAGACTTGTGTTTCATTAAGTAGATATACCCATATATGCTCAAATCATATGTGAACGTCAGAAAATAACGATACCCGTCGCGAGCCTCAACACTCATTGGACCGCACACATCGGTATGTATTATTTCCAACAAGTCTGTTGCTCGCTCCATTGTTCTGAAGAACGAAGTCTTAGTTATCTTGCCCATGAGGCATGGTTCGCAAGCATCAAGTGATTCATAATAAAGTGACTCCAAAAGCCCATCAGCATGGAGTTTCTTCATGCGCTTTACACCAATATGACCTAAACGGCAGTGTCACAAATATGTTGCACTATCATTATCAACTTTGCATCTTTTGGCATCAATATTATGAATATGTGTATCACTACGATCGACATTCAGTAAACCATTCACCTTGGGTGTATGACCACAGAAGGTTTTATTCATGTAAATAGAACAACAATTATTCTTTGACTTAAATGAATAGTTGTATTGCAATAAACATGATCCAATCATATTTATGCTCAATGCAAACACCAAATAACATTTATTTTAGGTTCAACACTAATCCCGAAGGTAATGGGAGTGTGCGATGGTGATCTTATCAACCTTGGAATCACTTCCAACTCACATCATCACCTCGCCCTTCACTAGTCTCTGTTTATTTTGCAACTCTTGTTTTGAGTTACTACTCTTAGCAACTGAACCAGTATCAAACACTGAGGGGTTGCTACAAACACTAGTAAAGTACACATCAATAACATGTATATCAAATATACCTTTGTTCACTTTGCCATCCTTCTTATCCGCCAAGTATCTAGGGCAGTTCCACTTCCAGTGACCATTTCCTTTGCAGTAGAAGCACTCAGTTTCAGGCTTGGGTCTAGCTTTGGGCTTCTTCATGGGAGTGGCAACTTGCTTGCCATTCTTCTTTAAGTTCCCTTTCTTTCCTTTGCCCTTTTACTTGAAACTATTGGTCTTGTCAACCATCAACACTTGATGCTTTTCTTGATTTCTACCTTCACTGATTTCAGCATCGCGAAGAGCTCGGGAATCGTTTTCGTCATCCCTTGCATATTATAGTTCATCATGAAGTTCCACTAACTTGGCGATAGTGACTAGAGAACTCTGTCAATCACTATCTTATCTAGAAGTTAACTCCCACTTGACTCAAGCGATTGTAGTACTCAGACAT